ATTTGAAAAAGCAATACCCAAATGCTTTCATCACTCAAATGTCCTTTTAAAAATATTGTCCACGGTGGTTATTACCTGGACAATGCTGTCAATTTCTGTAGTCTGCAGAAAATTTTCCCTCAGATAGAAAAGTAGGACATTGGGCACCTATCTCAAAAAAATCAACCAATTTCCCTGCCACCAGATATATTTTTCACCCAGACAACACTTTCATTAAGGAGGAAATAGCCGTCAACAATTCAAAGCCAAATAGAAATCAACTTCGCACAAAGAGGAGCTACGAACTTAATGGCTTTCGGAGAAAATACAGCTGAGAAAGTTGGAGTGATTCTGGTTCTCCCTTCCTAATACTGAAGGCAGTTTCTCCCAGAAGCTATCACTAGAAGGCCCCAGACTACCATCATCCTCCTGAAGTGTGGCAGAAGGGCAACCCATCCAAGTGCTTCCCACACACCAGGGGAGCTGCTTTCTTGGTCAATGGAAAATTGAACACTTCAGGAAAATGCCTGAAATAGTAGCAACCCCCCCCCCCCACACACACACACAGAGCCCTAGAATATGTCTTTGGACTGGTAAGTTTTCATGTTGTGCTGCTGGAGCTCAGGCTCCTTCGAAAATCTAGGTTTAATCCTGTATCAGGAAGGTTGGTCTGGGATAGAAAAATCCGGAAATGTGGTGGTGTTGGGGAAATTTTAGTACTGCCACCAAGAACTGGCCTTAACAGAAAACACTGAATAAGCCACTGTTAGATAGTTAATGCACTTTTCTTTTCAGGAATAAGCTCAAATTGTAAAATTTTCAGTGGGCAGAGGCTTAATTTTCATTCCTAGTCCAAAGGATGGACATTGGTGGTCTCTCTCCTGCTGCTTTTCCCTCACCTTCCTCAGTTCTTAATGGCCACCTTCACGCTGAGTGAAATTCATCCAAATGCTCTGGCTTCTAATAGTGCAGAGGTAGTACTCCATGGATATATTAATCACTCTTTAATCTCTGCTGAACAATTGGAGTGGTATTCACATTTTAAGGACGCTCTAAATTCGAGGGAATAACTGACTCAAAATCTTTTTTTAAGGACAAAGTTTAGAAAGAATTTTTCAATTCTTGCCCATATTGGTTTAAAAAGCAACTAGATTATTAGCAATTTTAATTCCTAGCAGAATTGGAGGGACCTAAATTGGAGGGTGAGGAGCCTCTTCTCATGAAAATAGAACTGTGGATGTGTGACTGATCACAATAACATCATTCAACCCCTTGCCAGATTCTCTGGACTCAATTTCTGAGTAACTTTTTTGTTGACATGCCCAGGGAGTGCTCATTAGATTCAGTTCTCAACTCTGAAAATTGCCACAGGTGAGCCGCCAACAGGACACCTCTGCTTTCTGCTGGGAGGTGCTCTCCCTGCGTGCTCTGGCCTATCCTTCAGTTTGATGCACCGAAAAGAACCCAGTTTAGGAATCCCTTTCTTCAGAACCAGCAATCACGTTTTCCTAGTTTATCCAGTGTGTGTTTCAATTCAGTTAAAATGCCATCGTCCTGTTACCCCATTCTATCATACTGAAAACATCCTGGTATCAGGCCAGAACTGACAGGAGAATAAAGATTGCAGGACCTTTTTTTTTTTTTAATTTTTAAACAAGTATTGTTATGCGATAGGCATGTCTCCTGATGAAATGAGACTTTTAAATCTATAATACACAAAATTCAACAGACAGAAAATCTCCTTGCCTTTATTTTTTAAAAAATGGTTTCCTTCTTCCCTCCATTTATGGCTGGAGTTAGCCCTGTGGTGATTTTTTTAGTCTGCTAGCTAATAGGCTTCAGAAGCTTACTTTGTAGACACATTTCTAATTAACTTCCCATTGCAGTACTAAATAAGCTTCCAGTTTGAAATAAGAACAGACTCATCTCTCGATAAACACAAAAACACTCAAAACCCTCAACCTAGAACAGGCATCCAAAAAAACCTGGGCCAAGAAACATTTTGAGAACATTCACTCAAATACAGGCAGAAGAGTGTGACATAAGAAAGGAGCACTGAACCTGCTGGATAGAGAATTGCCTTTCACTTAAAAAATAAATTAAAAATCCCCAATTTGGGAATATTTAAGGTATTTCTCTGTAAGTAGAAGCAGGAATATTTTTGTATAAGAGATACCTACACAAATCTTGTTCCCCTGGACATAATGTGGCAATCACTGCTTGGAAAACATAACTGGGATTCCAGGGGCTTAAAGGGAAAGGTGCACTGTGCTATCAGCTAGGAGGCAATGCATAAATAGAGCACCCTGTCACTTAACTTGTGGTGTGAGCTCATAAAGACATAAAATTACTCATTAAACTCCTTCTTGGTTTATGGCAACTCAAGGAGAAAAAAATAAAATAAAATAATGGTTTTGCCACTCCTGCCTTCTTGGAGTATAACCTGAAGCAGCCCCTGACAAACTGCATCCATCTATTGCAGTTTCTTGCAAAGATCTGGGATGTTCTAAGATCAGCTACAAATAAATGATAAATTCAGTCACAGTGTGTGGTGTTTAATAAAATAGATGGAGAAAGAAGCTTTGACCATTTCTTGGTCTGTCTCATTGCCCTAGAGTTTTAATCAAGGCTCTCCACTTCCTTACCTGCCTAGAACCAACCTGTCCTGACTGCCCAATTCACCCTTTTAAGTTTATTTCCATGGTAAAAACCAGCTCCCTGCTCTTCCAGGAAAATATCTTGGAATTCTGTGGGCAAATAACCATGGGATGACAATCCCTGGAAATACTACCTTGGGTCACAGCCACCAGCCTTTTGTTTTTGTGGTGCCCTGTGGTTTCTAATCCCCGACACACAAAACAACTTTAGATCGGAGAGAAAAGAATGGACTTCTAAATCGCCTTCTCTATTTTATTGTTCGCGTTTCGTATTGTTTTGAGTGAAATTGGAAAAATTGTCTCCTTTCTCCGTATTGCCAAAAGGCATTCAGGTAATGAAGTCTGTAACTAAACGGTAATTGAATCAGCATAATTTGCACACTGAATGGTTTTCAAATGCTCCCAGTTTACAATTAAAGGAGAATTAATGCGCTTGTTGTTGCGAACGCAGCGCATTAGAATAAATCCAGCACTGTTGTTGTAATGAGTGGAAAACGGTTTAACTGCCAACAAACACATTTAAAATTTAATACAACGTATTGATTTCACTTCTGCTTTTGATAGATTATTTTCCAGACTATTGAAATACTTGCTCCAAGCAATAAACTGCACCACAGCCCCGAGCCTTTTGCCATGTGTGAGCACAGTCCAAGGACTTAACAGTCTTGAGGTTCAGGTCACGCGTAAAGGTATGCAGAGGAAAGGGGCAGGAGGGTTTCCATGGTTAAGGGAATCGTTAATAACCCTCCTCTGTAGCTTTCATTTTGCGCCCCCCCCCCTTCTTTCAATAAACAATCTCTGTATTTCCTCTGGCCAAACTTTCTGCCCTCAGTCTTTCGGTTCTCAATGTCAGTAGGTAGACTGGACACAGGTGGGGGCAAGAATGATTGAAGATAGGAAATGGGAAGGACAATTTTTGCATTCTGTCTGCGTTCCAGCCCGGGAAGGCACAGACTTCGGTGACAGTCAGAAAGGCTGTTCTTTTGGATTGGCTGCCCTGGCTTTCACCTGTTTACCCCAAGGTATCCTGCGGCGAGGACACTGACGCGCAGCGCCCTCTGGCGTCCGAGGCTGCGATAGTCAGGCGATAAAGATGCAAAGACAGGCAACACTGAGGGTTCCTGGATTGAAGCTGAAACCCGTGAAAGGCACGCACCCTCACATACATATTCACATACGCGTATACATACACACTCATTAACATACACAGAGTTCACACAACTAGCAGCCCTGCAGTCATATGCACCAGAGCAACAGCTGGGAAACGCTCTCAACTGAAGGGTTGGCAACACTTTTGCTCCCTGGCTTGTGGGTTCTGAAGCCCTTGGGATTGAGGGACGGCACCGCACCCCCATCCCGCTTTTCCAGCCCGGTCAGAGAGCTCAGGCTGCCCCAGCGCTCCTCGCCCCCGTCCAAACACACTGAGCCCTCCGTGCGCTCTTGTGGCTCAGAAATAAGCTATGAGGAGTCGGTGCACTGAACACAACTTCGCCAGCAGGGTGCGAGTGTCCCTGGCCCTCCCTGAAGCCAGACACGAGAAATTGCTCTCTCCGTCTTGGCTCTACGCAGTGCCCACAGCTACCAATTCATCTGCACCCCCAGTTCCAACAGTGTGCAAAATCCAGACCCCCGAAACTCCACTCCAGAAAGACTCAGGCAGTGGCTTTGCTTAGTATTTTCCTGACAACAAGGTCTGTCATTCCCTAGTAAGGGGCTCGGCCCTGTAACTGGGGTTCGGTTATCTGGTGCAAAGAAGAGATTGGGAGGAGAGGGAGGAGAGCCGCTACATGTTTGCCGGGGCAACCCAGACCTAACTCTATCTAATCGCTTGTGATGCTCTTATCTGATACACTTGTCCTCTGTGAACCCTACAAGTCGAACAAAGTTACCTGCACTTCTTTATGTGTCATATCTCCAAACTGGGGGACTAGGTACGTGGATTCACTTTCAAAGTCACAGACCTGGGCAGATTCGTGCTCCACACTCTCAACCTCCATTTCCTTTCGTTTAAACTCTGTGGATGAACTAATGAGAGTTCCATGTATAATCAACCCTTTCTTTTGCCCTCTCTCCCCATAAAGCATCCCATCCCACTATCTCCTCGGCTTCTGGGTGTCTAGGGCGCCCTAGACGCTGTTCAGAATCACGCTTAGGAGAGGGGGGACTGGAGCAATAAATGAGGGTGGGAAAACCAGAAAATCCCGCAGGGAACCAAAGACCAGCTTGCCAAAGTTGTTCCAACACGGTCGCTAGGAACGCTGCTCTCGCTGAACTGGCGATCTCACCCTCCTCCCGCGCGCCCCTGGTTGTCTGGCCTCGCGACCAGGGTGGGATTGCGGGGCCGCCGGATCGGCAGCGACTTACCAAGTAGACGGTGGGCTGCAGGAGGAGAAGCACGTACCAGCACGCAGCCTGCATCCTCCCGCGTCTCAAACTTCCTCGGCGGTGCTTTCGCTGAGTCTTTGTTCCTTCAAAAACATAGATCCACCTGACATCCACTTTACAGAGCAAGGAGCGCTCTCAGCAGCCTAGATACAAATGAAATTAGACAGCCCATGACCACGCGGGCAAGGTTAGGCTTGGCGACCAAGCGAGGAAAGGGGGTCGTGGAGGGGAGGGGTGGACCAAAAACCCGGGGGGGTGGGCAGGAAAAATTGAAAAGCGAGTAAATCCAGCGCCTGAAACCAGCGAGCGCGCGGTCCGCAGGCAGGCGGGCAGGAGGGTAGGAGGATGAGGGGCTCCTTGCGCCCTGCACTCCTCGGGTGCGAGTTCCCAGGCAGTGGAGACAGGAGGTGGCGGGGCACACAGAGCCGCGTGCAGGCTGGTTCCGAGCCCAAGCGTCTCTGGCAGCGAGACCTGCCCTAGTGTTTGATGGCCAGGCGGCTCGGACTTAGAGGCGGCGGCTGGTTCTTCGCCAGCCCTGGCAGTGCTCACACACGTACACACCAGCAGAGGAGAGAGAAAGAGAGAGGGAAAGCGAGCTGGAGAGACTGAGTAAGGGGGGCGCGGGTAGAGGAAGGGGTAGGTAGAGCTGACCGGGATTAGGTCCTGGGTATCTTCACACGTTCCATGGAGTGGGGGTGGGAAAGGGAATGCAATTTGCATACAGTAAAGCCGGGCTCAATTTACCCATTCGAGCCCCCTGCACATAGATACACGCGCACACAAGCACATCTTTGGCACTACTTTTTTTCGAGCCAAGGGGCAGAGTCAGTCGCTAACTTCTAGAGTGGAAGCCTGCCCGGGTCCGTGAGGTCACCCGCCAGGCTCACTCTGTCCCCCAACCAGTGGCCCTCCCGCCGCCCCTTCCCCGTGTCCCACCACCCCGCTCCAAGATATCCTCTCCTGGACTGTGGAGGCGAAGTGTACGTACCGCACAGGACCAGGGGCGAAACCGGCGAGCAGGGACCGCTCTGGGCAGGCTCCATGGAGGAGCTACTCGGGCCTGGCGTCTCCGGCGCCCCGGACATGCCCTCCCTGGCGCTTCATTTCCATGCTCAGGCACGGACCGGTCCCGCTGCTTCGTCCAGCGTCGGCGGAGTCGGCGTCTCAGTGCCCGGGTCGCGCTCAGGCTTGGTTCCGTGGGAGCCTAGGCTTGGCACAGTTGGATTCACGGTGTAGGAAACTTAAGAGGCAAGAGAGGGAGGGGGAAGCAGAGGAGAAAAGAGAGGAAGAGAGAAAGGGAGGGAGTAAGAGAGGGAGGGACAGAGGCCAATGCGCCGGGCGAATGCGCCGGACGGACTGGGACCGCCGGCGCTGGCTCCTGGACGAGCAGTCCGGGGCTCCTTGCTTTGCGAGGCTGCTGAAGGATGGTAGAAATGACTTAAGGGGTGGGGGAGACTGGGCAAGTCCTCGGGACTTGAACTCGAGAGACAAAACACGGGCCTTCCAGAAGAAAAAAGCAACACGGCAAGCGCAAACGGTCCGAGTTTCTGAGGGAGGGTTGGGGTGGCAAGACCTGGAGGCTCCTGGCGCACCGAGCAGCTGCACGTCTACCGCGACACTGGGATGCCAGGGAGCCACTCCCGAACGGAGTCGCAGGCGCTGTGCATGGTCCTGCCCGGCCACTGGGGGACGCTCTGGAGCACGCTGGGGTTCGGGGCGCCGACGAGGTGGTGCTTTCTCCGTAGGTCTGCCGCTCACGGCGCCTACCCTCCCCACACGGGCAATTGCATTGGCACGTGGGTGAACGATTCCTCAGAGACTAATTAATACCCCGAATAAATAGATCCCACTCCCAGGCTCTCGGTAGGCCGGGCCCGTAGGGAGAAGCGGCTCCTGCGGTATCTCTGGTGACCGCAGTGCCCAGTCCCCCGGGGGCGTGAGGAGGACTGCGACCGCCAGAGGAGTGGTGGGGAGCGTAGTGGAGCGGTGCGTAGGGCAGGAATGGGCGCAGGAGGGAGCAGGGGCCCCCGGCCCGCCTCGGGCGCGGACTCTGGGCGCCGCGGACCTGTGGCTACGGGGCCCGATGCGAGGGCGCTGCGGACCGCCAGCCATTCAGCGCGCGACAGCCGAGAGGACTGGGCGACCTTGCGCGTTCGACTCCTCGCCGCGGTCTGGGCCGAGCGAGAGGAGGGGGGTGGAGGGGGGACGCGGGTAGAGGCTTTGAGCCTTTGCCACCTCCCTCGTTCCTGATACCTCCTACCAACCAGCGTCTCCCACTCTCGGTCTCTTTGCTCTGACTCTCGCTGTCCTTCTCCATTTCTCCCTTGCTGTCTCTCTCTCCATCTTTCTCTTTCTATCTCCTTTCTTATGCTCTGTGCCTATTCTTCAGCTGCATCTTTCTACCTCTCTCTGTGTGTCTCTTTCAGGATTTCCGACTCTCTCCATCTCTATTTCTCTGTCTCTACCTCACCCCGCCATTCCTCTCAAACCTTGTCCTTTTTTTCTCCCCTTCACTCTCTCCAGCAAACAACCCTTAAGCCAGCTTCGCCCTTATCCGAGATCCCGGGACCAGGCCCTTCTACTGCCGGCCGTGCCACCAGCGCCTCCTCAGGGTGCCCAGACTCAGTCAACAAGTCTGAGCACGGCTGAACGCATTTTTCTTCCCCTCACTTCGCTGGTTATCTCTCCAAGCTCGCCCTTCACCAGAGCTTGACCTGGAATGATGCCCTCTACACAATGAAAATTAATAATTGGTAAGAGTTGGGATGAAATTTATCTCAGGAGCCCTAGTTGATGGCATCCAAATATGATGGTGATTTTTAATGAGTCTTAGGGAGTCCTTTCCTCCAGTGTGGCTATTGGACACCTCAGGCTCCACCATTTCTGACCGGCTGGGGGCCCAGACACAATAGGTCTCAGAGGACTATAGGTTGAGCTCCCCTGGAGAAGCTGCTAACCCCCAGCCCCCAACACCGACAATCAGCAGAACCACCCTTTTCTGGAACAAAGGCAGAAAGAACCCCACTGAGACCTTCCCCTGGAATCAGACCTCCAATTTAAATCCCCACTGGAGGACATACTGCCAGGCACTTTGAGGCCTACACTTCCCCTTCCAACTAAAAATAGCTCTTTAAAGAGCAAACTCTTCTAATCTCAAAAGTTGTACTCTGCTGCTGTGACCTCTTGGAATTCATTGGGGCATATGCAGAGTAAGGCAGTGAAGCACATTTTCTAAGTGGGACTCTGAAAATGCACTTTGGAAAAATGCACATTTATATATAGCATAGTTGCAATGTTATCTTGGCTATCTTCATTTACCTGGCTTTTCATGTTCTTAAAAAGTTTAAAGAAGAAAAATAAATTTTAGGGCACCCATATCTGAGGCTGAAGGGTCAAAGTAGAGCAAGGGAAGCTTTGTCTGTCTCCACCCTTTAGGATTCAAAAATGGGGATCAATCCTAAAATCGATCCCCATTTCTGCATGAGTTCCCAGGCCCTCCCAGGATGGAGTGTGGAGCTGGAGTAAATGTTGCCTGCCTCTCCCCAGATGCCCCGGTACAATGCAGGCAGGGCTGAACTTGGAATACGACTTTTGGGAAAAACAAGAAAGAGTCAGGCCCGCTTTGGGATATACCAAGTTCTTTTTTCTAAACCTTACTTCAAAAACATTCTGCCTCTAGTCCCATTTAGCCTTAAAAATTACTGCTTATGATATAGAGAGACGATCAAGGACCTTAAAATCTCTGTCTGAATGGGACTGATTATTTAAGAAAAGCACCACAGGCACCTAGTAACGGGAACTGGTCTGACACTTTGTTCTGTGACAGAGGGTGCCAAAGAGCTTTTTATGGTAATTACCTGAGACCTTCTGCCCAGACATTCAACTCTTACTGGATCCTATGAGACACTTGGCCTGAGATATGAAACAGCAGTGGATTGTCATTTTTTATATCTTTGCTAGAGTCTTCATTTCCTGTAGTACTCAATTAGAAAAGGACACTAAGCCAGGTAAGACTTATCATTGTTTCTGCTAAACCTCTCCAATTTTAATGACATAATTTTGGAGGGTGGGAGGCAATGGGAGACAAGGATGGCTCATTCACCCTCTTTCTTTCCTATGATTTGCTTAAAAAAAAAAAACAGTAAAAACAATAAGGACATGATTTTCAGACATTCTTCTGTTTAAAGTGTTACCCACTCTAAAATATACTCTTAGAATACATCCACAATCAGCCTTACCAGGATAGGACAAAAGTGTACCCTTAAGGAGTATAGTATTTGTGCCAATTTTTTTTGAAAAGTTTATGTTAAGAATCCTTTCAGAAATCACTCTCTAAATTTTGTGTGTGATGCAACTTAATACACATGTAAACTCAGCATCAATTATAACCATCGTATAATACAATCCTCTGCCCTCTGCTTTTCCCCAAGTCTACCTGATCCAATCTGAAATGAATAGTATAAAGCAATATATATTCTTCTCCAAGAAATATGTCTTTTAAAAGAATTAAAATGAGCTAACAAAAGGAAACAGTAATATTAAACAATTTTCCTGATAATTAAAACCAGAAAAAAATAAAATTAGAATTCATCTGAGATATACTGATAACTCTGTTAACTGTAATTAGTTGTATTGGTTGATTTGGTTTGGTTCACCTGTATGACTCTCTTTTTCTGAGGGGGAAAGAAAGGGCAGAAGTTGAAAGTTTGAATTATCTTGGGGCTGGGGAAAAGAAAGAAAGAGATTAACTTTGAGTTCTACAAAACTCTGTCCTAAAATGAACCTGTCTTAAAATGCATAAATATCATCATCTTTCACCCAAAATCCAAATAAAAACAGAAAACGGTTGTTATAAAGCACCCAGCTGTGGTATTGCCTAAGCTTCAGGCCAAATTATATCACTTTGTACATAGTAACTGCATTGTACCTATTTTTTCCCTAACAGTGACACAAAACTTATAAGGCATGCATTATCCTTCTGCCTTGACCTCAGTATAACCTGGTATTTGCATGTTGATGACCTTGGATAAATGCCTGAAGATTCCTCTGGCCTCAATACCCTCCCCTCTATAATGAAGAAGTAGGATTAGATGATGTGTAAAATGCCTTTATTCTATTTTTGTATGATTAAATAAATGTAAAGTCATCTCTGCCTTAAAAAACTTGACAAACGTCAATTGTATACTACATTATGATTTTCAAAAATATTAACAATTTAAAAGAATATATTTTGTTCAGTGCACTGCAAAGATTTTAGGCAAGTGTGTTTGTGGGTTTGAGGCCTTCTTGTGCATTTCTTCTGTGCCCCACCCTCATAACCTTTCTTCTAGGTTAAGGGTTGACTCTATTGTATTAATTATATCATTTAAAAAAAATAAATTGTGCATGTTTTTAATGTCATTGATTTATGAAAATGTACACTCAGAATGGCATCCCTATTAGACTTATGAATATTTGTTTAAAAGACCCATAGCCATTTCCACTACCTTTGTAAAATTTTCAAATGTCACTCAGGACAACTAAGAAACTCCCTGGCCCTTCCACACCCCAAGCTATTTTGCTAGTGGAAGGAAGGAAGGGTCATTTGCAAAGTGATTTGGTATTTGAATGTAGTAGAACTTGGTTAATAACTATGAGGCATGTGTGCTAAATTACCTTTATAAGAATGCTTTAATAACAAGATCACTAGACTAGAGAGAAAAAATAGCCGTCAAGCTCTGGAATAAAAAAAAAAAATTAAAGAGAATCCAAAAGCTTTATGTAGAAGGCATTTTCTTTTTTAGAGGTAATTTATATGCTCAGTCTTTGTATCCATATTTCATTTATTCTGCTAGGTGAGAACAGAGGGTTCTCAAAGGTAGGGTAGTTTTAATTATACTCACAAACTTTAAAAAGAGAATGAGCACAACAAGAGAAACTGAAGAAAGTCAGCATTAAAAAGGCAGTTGATGGGTGCCTGGGTGGCTCAGATGGTTAAGCGTCTGCCTTCGGCTCAGGTCATGATCCCAGGGTCCCAGGATCGAGTCCTGCATCGGGTTCCCTGCTCCTTGGGAGCCTGCTTCTCCCTCTGCCTCTCTCTCTCTCTCTGTCTCTCATGAATAAATAAATAAAATCTTTAAAAAAAAATAAAAAATAAATAAAAATAAATAAAAAGGCAGTTGAATGTAAAAGATGGAAAGATTGGGGTCATCACCCAAAA